TAGGCATTGCTTATGTTTTTGACTCTAGAAAGAGTTTCTCCACTTTCCTAGGGTTAGTGTTAGCAACTAAAAGGTAAAACAGTTTCCTGTTGGTGACCTCATTTTTCTGATAAAAGAGAAACAGGTTACATATATACAAGTATATATTTAAATTATTAAGTATATACAAGAGCTAAAGTTGGATGTAGGTCTGTCTGACTTGAAAAGTGTTTTTTTTTTCTTTTCTTTTCTTTTCTTTTTTTTTTTTTGTGTGTGTGTGTTAACGTACCCCAATATGCTTTTCTGAAACAAAAAAGAAGACGTCACTTTGGAATTTGAGGTTAGGAAATGTCCATGACTGTGAAAATGGTGGTAAATTAGAACTTGTAATATACTTAGGCATAATCAAGAAATATTTCAGGGGAACTGAGCTTTGGTCGTGATAGCCTAGGGTCCAGGGCAGGGTGGAAGAGTAAACATTTCCTATGGAAGTGGGTTTGGGGAATATTCAGGACTTTGTGCTCCCGAGTCTCTTCCTCTGCTTGTGAGCTCCTCTTTAACTCCATGCTTTCTGCTGCTTCAAGTTGCAGCTAATGCAGTCGACCTTCTGTATTGGTTGGTCCTGCACTCAAGGTTCAAGCAACCTTGTACTGAAAATGCTTGAGGGAAAAATTCTCTGTGTGCGTTGAACATATTCATGATCACCCTCATCTTTTTCCCCCAAAACAATACAGTATAACATATTTTACATAGAATTTACATGGTGTTTTTTTTAAGTAATCCGCAGGTGACTAGAGTATATGGGAGGAGTGTGTGAATTTTATGCAACTATTGTGCCATTCCATTTAGTTGACCTTATATCTGTGGATATAGGTATTCCCTATGGGTACCCAAGAATAATAATATTTAGGCAGTGTCTCCTGTGTGTTAGCTGGGATTCAGTCTCAGAGTTTGAACTAAAGTTTTGATATATTTAGTTTTGAATAGTATTTTTTCAATTGATATTATGCAGCATTTGAGTAGGGAATCTGTTTTCTATATTGCTCAATAAGGCAAGAGGAAAAATTACTAAATGCATATCTTTTGAAGTTAGTATTTTTCTATTCTAATATTTACTATATTAGAATAGTATAGTATATTTACTATACTATTCAGTATAGTAAAACATATACTGAATTGAAATTTTTAATGATGATCGTGAGGGTAGAGTTGGTGAGGGAAGGAGGTCAGTGTGGACATAGCCACCAGTTTTGCGTTTTTTTCAGTCTAGGGTGTTTTTTTAAAAAAACATCTTTGGGCTAAAGACTAGAAGGATTGCTGCTAAGTTCGACTATGTTTTTCTGACAAGTGTTTTCTAGTAAAAAGAAAAAAATGCATGCTTTTTTATGGCCTTTCTTGGAAAAGAGTTAAGGTATTTTGTTTTGGGGGAATTGATAACAAAAAATGTAACTGTTTAAAACATCCGTTTTATGGTGCAATATCACCATCTTGTGGTGTTTTAGGATATTGTTTCAAAATTTTCCAAACATGAACATAAATTACATATTTAATGTCTTGATGTTAGTTAGGCAAGGATTCCACCAGATCTGTATTTGAAAATTTTTGTAAATGGGCTGTGGAGTAAAAATAAAAAGTGTGATTGAGGAAAATAATAGTATAAAATGAAACGGTTATGAGTTAGATTGGTATGGTAATGGGTGACTTACTGATATTTCTTGTTTTATGAGATAAGTAGTATTTTTAGTAAAATAATTAAAAGCCTTAAAAAAATCATCCAGTTTTTTTGTCATCTATTTCTTATTTAAGAAGAAACTAAGGTGCAGAATAATTTAAGTATCCTGTTTTAGCTATTTATTAGGACTTTAAATTTGTTTTAATGTAAAATAGTGCTTTCTATATTGATGACTCTTGGAAGGTTTTTTGCATTAATTTGTATACTTTATAAAAAATTCTGATGATAATTTATTTCTTCCCCTTGATGTAGTGTCTCATTTAGCTAAGGCTGCTTTTGAACTCCTGACTCAAGTGACCCTTGTAAGTCAGTTGGGGCAATAAGGGAGGAAGGTATATGGTTGTTCTGATGATGGTTTTGAGGTAAAGAAAAGAGACAGTACTACAATACAAAACCACCTAGAAGACAGCTGGAAATGTAGCCCAGAAGTAGAGTACATACAAGTAAAGGCTCCATGGCACTGTTGCTATTGTCCTTAGGAAAAGAAGACCCAGAGGGGCGTGCCTGAGAAGAAAAGTGAGCACAGTGGTAGAGACAGCTTCTTTGGGGCTGTGTGTAATAAAAGGGCCCATCAGATCAGGATGAGAGTCATTTGTGCTAATGAAAAGTTGAAGAGTGGCAAGCTCAAGAGGTGAGGTGCTGGTATGGATATGAAGATCTTCCCTTGTCAAGGGACCATTCAGTTGGGATGAAGGCCTGGGATAGGAAGAACAGATGGACTGAGTGTTAAGTTTATGCAGGAATCTGCATCTTTAGGAGTCAAATAAGTGATGATTTAGAGTTTGTTAGAAATTTTTCTGAGAGCTTAGAGAGACATTGGTGTTTCTTTTCTTCCTGTCTCTCATATGCTATCCTTGTGGTGTGATTTAAGCCTTGCTTAGTTCTATATAACTGATCTGGTTTTCTTTCTACACTTTTAAGAAACAGAGAAATTGCTTTGTCACAGGATTCTGTTAGTTTGAGATCCATAGAAAAAGCGAATACAGGTAGAGTCTTTACCTTTGTCACTAAGACTATTGAATGTCCCAGTTTCCACAGAATTGAGGAGTTTCCAAGGATGGAAAACTAAAATGTGGATGGTCCTGGACAAACAAGGCTAATTTCCTATCATTGTCATGTTTTACAAATTTATTAAAATACTTAGCAATATCTTTTTTTATACGTTATATTTTATGGAGAAGCAACATTCTTGTTTTACTTTAAGTTAAATCTCATATTCTACAGCTTACATTATTATAAAATAATTTTTTGTGTGCTTTCGAGTTGCTAAATTGGGTATTAACCAGGCTGATAGGTTCATCCACATTTATCGTTTTTACATTTGCTCAGTTTCAAGTTTTGTGCTATTGATACAATAACTGCCTCGGTTCAGGATTTGTAACTTTTCAGTTCCCTGTCTTTGGCCAAGCATTTCTAGTACTTGATGCTCCCTGCCATATCTTGTTACTGGGTTGTTTCCTTTCTTTTAATATTGTCTCTAAAACTAGGCTCCCTGTTGTTGAATCTGTACTTTTTCTTCTCTTGTTTTCTATCTGTGCCGTTCTTTACAGATATCAATGCATGTATTCATTCATTGATCCAGGCCTAAGGAGCTGTGACAGTTTGTCACTGGCCTTCAAAAGCCTTAATACTATGCTGAGTGCATACTGAATGTGCAGACAGTTCAGGTCGTTCTAAGAAGATATTTTTGGGAGGAAAGTGTTGTTATTTTCTTTTATTGCTTTGATTTACAATGGCATCTTGAAGTGAGCAGGCAATTAGATACGTCTTCTAGAGCTGACAGTGCATGCTGTAATTTGAGCACTCAGGATCTGAGGGCAGTCTGGGCTACCTAGTGATTTAGTGAGACCCATTCTCAGAAACAACAACAAACAACCCTTTTCCCATTTTCTTCCTCCCCTCCCATTCTTCTCTTTGGTGCTGTTTTTGAGGCAGTATCTTATGGTATAACTCTGGCTGTCCTAGAACTCATTATGTTGCCCTCCTAGCCTTGAACTTACAGAGAGTCACCTGCCTTTGCCTCCTGAGTGCTGGGATTAAAGGTGATGCCACCAAACCTAGCTGGCTTCCCCAGTTTCTAAATGAGGGTTTGATAGTTCTCTAATTTCAGAGTACTAGGAATACAGCTTATTGCCTATACTAAGGATTCTCTTATATTATCAGCAGTTGAATAAAAATCCTGTGGCATTTTCAAAGGGTTGAAGTGGACAAAATCAGCTTAGATGTACATGCTGTCTCCTCTACACATAGATTTTAACCTAGTATTCAACTGAGTATCTACTTTGTTGAAAAGTTTAGTGAAAATCAGACTTTGCTGTTTCTCATGCCTCCCTTACTCTCTGAGTTCTTGAATCTGAATTGGCCCTATAGTCTTTTTCTGTTCTCACATGCTGGATACCAAATACTATTGGGAAATAGCCATGCCAACATGCAGATTGTTGTCCCTATAGGTTTTTGAAAAACACTGAATATTAATTGCTTGGTGGTTGATCAGCACTTTTTCTTAGCCCTCTCAGTAACTGTGGCAGAATATCTCCCCCATGAGCAAGCCTGTTATCTTCTGTGATTAATGTCTCTGACGAACTTACTTGATATATTTCTTCTCCATTGACCTAATCCTAGCTGTCTCTGATAAGGGGATATTTACAAGTTTTTGAACATCATATCCCAAATGAAAAATGAGAATAACAACTAGCTTTTGATAGGTGGTTGTTTTGCACCGTGCAATCAAAGTCCTAAGGCCTGCGTGTTATGAGTCAGTCCTCCTTCCAGCATGAGGTGATGGCTCTGTTTTTCTTGTTATACTGATGCAGAGAACTTAGAACATGGCTCTTAAGTGGCAGGACTGGAAAGAAAGTCCTCAGCATTCAACTGCAGAACTCCTAGTGCTACTTCCTATGGGCCAAGCATTCAAACATGAGTCTATTTCAGGCCCACACAGGCAAAACACCCATACACATAATTGTTTGTTTATCTATCTCTATCTATCTATCTATCTATCTATCTATCTATCTATCTATCTATCTATCATCTATCTATCTATCTATCTATCTATCTATCTATCTATTTTGAGACATGGTAGACTCATACTCATAGAGATAGATCTGCCTGCCTCTGCCTCCTGAGTGCTGGGATTAATGGTGTGTACCACCATGTGTAAAAATTACATGTACAGGTTATTTTCTCTGTGATGCCTCTGCTACTTGACTAAAGGTTATCTGCTTTCCTTATGTGCTCCAAAGGAAGTACGTGGCATTCTGCGTCACACTGAAAACTTTTGTGTTTGCAGGGTTGTCTCCTCACCAGACTATGAGCTCCTTGACAGAAGAAATCGTATCTTACTCATCTTTGTATCCTCAGTGTCTGGCACAATTCTTGAAACACAGTAAGTGATTGACCCCTTTTGTTTTAAATGAAAATGATGTAGCTAGTAGTCAAACTAATGCTAATTGTTAATTCTTATAAATCAAAATAAACCTATATAAATTAATTAATGTATTTTTTTATAAAAAATGAAACTTTTACAGGGTGCACATCTTTAGTCTTAGCACTTGGAAGGGAAAGGCAGGTGGATCTCTGTAAGTTTGAGTATAGTCTGGTTTACATAGCAAGTTCCAGTCCAGCCAGGACTACACAGAGAGACCCTATAAAAAAAAATTTACAAAGTGAAGCTATGTACTTTAAACACTTTCTGAGATTCAATTTTTGAATCATTTCATCATGTTTTCCAGTATATATGTATGTATGTATTCTTGAGTCTAAGAATTGGAAAGTTTATATAAAATAAAGGATAAATAGACAAGTTAATCAATATAGAGAAATCAAGCAGTCTTACAACAGGCTGACAAGTCCCCATCTGTGTAGTGCTTAAACTTACAAATTTCTTCTCAGAGAACTAATCTGATGCTGCTTATCTTTAGTCTCAGCAAATACCTGTCTAATGGAATAATGAAGTCTCTAGCTTTTGTTTGGTTTCTTTTTAAGTCTACCTCCAAATTAAAAGTACTTTCTAGCCTATCTGTCATTTAATGCCCAGAGAAAAAAGTGTCTTTATTGGAAGGCTAATTAAATGGGTGAAAGACATACCTTTCCTCTTGTTTTGATCATAGACTATAGAAGTCATCCTTGATGGATTAGTGATTTACCCTCTCCTCTGTCTACTTTCTTGATAATTGGGCCTGGGGTGATAGCTCAGTGAGTAAAGCATTTGCTATCTAGGCATGAAGGCCCCATGATCGCCTTTTATTGTGTTATTGCTCTAGCTAGAATCTAACAAACTATATTGAATAGATATGGAAAGAGTGGCAACCTTATCTTGTTCCTGATTTCAGTGGGATGGCTTTGAGTTTCTCTCCATTTAGTTTGATGTTGGCTATTGACTTGCTGTGTATTTCGTTTGTTATGTTTAGGTATGTTTATTGTATCCCTGCTCTCTCCAAGACCAAGACCTTTATCATCAAGGGGTGTTGTATTTTGTCAAAGGCTTTTTCAGCATCTAATGAGATGATCATGTGGTTTTTATTTTTCAGTTTGTTTATATGGTGAATTATGTTGACAGATTTTCATGTGTTGACCATTCCTGCATCTCTGGGATGACTTTGCTGATGTGTTCTTAGATTCGATTTGCCAGTATTTTATTGAGTATTTTTCCATCAAGGTTCATTAGTGAGATTGGTCTGTAATTCTCTTTCTTAGTAATGTCTTTCTGTGGTTTGGGTACCAGGGTAATTGTAGCCTCATAAAGAGTTTGACAATGTTCCTTCTGTTTCTTTTGTGTGGAACAATTTGAGGAGTATTGGTATTGGTTTTTCTTTGAAAATCTTGTAGAATTCTGAGCTGAAGCCATCTGGTCCTGAGCTTTTTTGGTTGGGAGACTTTTGATGACTGTTTCTATTTCATTAGCAGCTATAGGTCTTTTTAATTTGCTTATCTGGTCTTGATTTAATTTTGGTAAGTGATAATTTATCCAGAAAGTTGTCCATTTCCTTTAAGTTTTCCAATTTTGTGGAGTACAGGTTTTTGAGATATGACCTAATGAGTCTCTGGATTTCCTCTGTGTCTGTTGTTAGTCCCTTTTTTCAATTCTGATTTTCTTAATTTGGATATTCTTTCTCTGCCTTTTAGTTAGTTTGGATAAAGGTTTGCCTGCTTTGTTGATTTTCTCGAAGAACCAACTCTTTGTCTCATTGATTCCTTGTATTGTTTTCTTTGTTTCTATTTTGCTGATATCAGCTCTCAATTTGATTATTTCCTGCCATCTAGTTCTCTTGTGTGAGTTTGCCTCCTTTTGCTCTTAGAGTTTTCAAATGTTCTGTTAATTCACTAGTGTGGGATTTTTCCAGCTTCTTTATATAGTGTTCATTGTGTCCCATAAATTTGGGTATGTTGTGTGGTCATTTTCATTGAATTTTAGGAAGTCTTTAATCTCTCCCTTTATTTGTCTTCCTTGACCCATTTATGATTCAGTTGAGCATTGTTTTAATTTCCATGTGTTTCTGGGCTTTCTGGAATTAATGTTGCTGTTGAATTCTAATTTAAGCCATGGTGATCCAATAAGGTATATGATATGGGCTTATTCCTTTTTTTTTTTTGTATCTGTTGAGGTTTCCTTTGTTACTAGTAAGTCGTCAATTTTTGAGAAGGTTCCATGAGGTGCTGATAAGAAGGTATATTCCTTTATGTTTGGATGGAATGTTCCATAGATGTCTGTTAAATCCATTTGATTAATAACATCTGTTAGTTCCCATATTTCTCTGTTAATTTTCTGTCTGACAGACCTGTCCAGTGGTGAGACTGGAGTGTTGAAGTCTCCCACTGTTAGCGGGTGGGATTTAATGTGTGATTTAGGCTTTAGAAGTATTTCTTTTACTTATTAGAGTGCCCTTGTGTTTTGGGCACAGATGCTCAGTATTGAGATTTTCTCTTGGTGGGATTTTCCTGTGACTTATATGAATTGTCCTCCTTTGTCTCTTTGGACTGATTTTAGTTTGAAGTCTGTTTTGTTAGATAATAGGATAGCTATACCAGCTTGTTTCTTTCGTTTATTTGATTGGAAAAATTTTTCCTCTGCCCTTTAGTCTGAGTTGATGTCTGTCTTTGAGTTGGAAGTGGATGATTCTGTCTTTGTATTCAATCTGTTAACCTATGTCTTTTGATAGGTGAATTGAGTCCATTTATATTAAAGTACATTAATGACCAGTAATTGCTAGCTCCTGTTATTTTAGTTTTCATTGTTGATGATGTTATTGTGTGTGTTTTCCCCTTCTTTGGGATTTACTACTGTGAGATCATCTATTGTGTGTTTTTGTGGATGTAGCCAACTTTTTTGGTTTGGAGTTTTCCTTCTAGTACTTTGTATAGGGCTGGGTTTGTGCAAAGGTACTGGTTAAATCTGGTTCTGTCATGGAATATCTTCTTTAGTCTGTGTGTGAAAAAATTCAAAGTTTTGCTGGGTATAGTAGTCTGGGCTGGCATCCGTGGTCTCCTAAGGTCTGTGCAATGCTTGACTATGTATGACTTTCGTGCTTTCGTTGACTCAATTGAGAAGTCAGATGTAATTCTGATAGGTCTGTCTTTATATGTTACTTGGCCTTTTTCCTTTGCAGCTCTTAACATTTTTTCTTTATTCTGTATGTTTGGTGTTTTGATTATTATGTAGCCAGGTTTGGTCTTTTCATCATGTCCCATTTTTCCTGAATATTTTGTGTTAAGCTTTTGTTAGATTTAATGCTTTCTTTGACCCATGAGTCTATATCCTCTGTTGTATCTTCAGTGCTTGAGATTTTCTCTTCCTTGTCTTGTATTCTGTTGTTCATGCTTGCATTTGTGGTGTCTGATCGTTTTCTCATAATTTCTGTTTCTATAATTCCCTCATTTTTTTTGTTGTTGTCTCTATTTCAGTTTTCAAGTCTTGAGTAATTTTTTTCATATGTTTGACTGCTTTTTCTTGGTTTTCTTTAAGGGATTTGTTGTTTTTTCCTTCTTTTTTTTTTGTTTATCTTTTCCTCCATTTCTTGGAGGGAATTTTTCATTTCCTCTTTAAGGACCTCAAACATTCTCTAAAGTTTATTTTTTAGGTCATTTTCTTCTGCTTCATCTATATTTGGTTGTTCAAGTCTTGCTGTTCTAGGGCCATTAGTTTTTTAGTGGTTTCATGTTGCTCTTTGTGGTGTGAGTGGGTTCTTATCTTGTCTACTCATCTTTTTTGGGGAAGTGCATCTGGCAGGTGGGTCATTCACCAACTCATTTGCCTGGTGTCTTTATATTATGTTTTTATAGTTTTTTCTTGATTGGCCATTATTATTTCTTCATTTATTGATAAAACTAGTTGTTATTTTGAAAGTTCTTGACAGTCAGAAACTATTGTATTGAATTTCTACTGACTTTTACTTGTAGGTAAAACAGATTAGTTTTCTAATTAGTTTTTCATTCTGGGTAAACCCCAAGGCTAAGTTTGGGTATGATCCTAGTGGTATATGTCAGTGGGTTGTTGGTGTTCTGATATAATTTTGTCATGGGTCCTCACAGTGAGGCCTTAGTGTTAAGAAAAGCCTCTCTGCCGACACAAAAAATTCTAATCAAACCAGATTACGCCAAATCAAATGCCTGTGTTTAATAGACGGTGGTCACTGGTGACCGGGAGAGCATGGTGAGGGAAAGACAGAGGGAGTGCTCACTCAAAACCATGTGTTCATCTTTCCAGTTCAAGCTTAAATACCCTGTGGGGTCAGCGCTTGACAGGCTGGGAGTTGGCAGGCCAGGAGTGACACTTTGAACTCAATATTACATTTAGTTCCCTTCATCTTTCAGTAGGCTCAGTTCTTGTCTCTTGACCATACACTTTAATTATCAGCATTCACAACCAGGATAAGGAACATGTTTGTTTGTCTATACTATTTATTTATTTATTTGTGTGAATAAAAAAATGAGGAAGTTAGAGGACAACTGGTCAGGTATGAGGATTGAACTAAGATTGTTAGCCTTGGCAGCAGGTACCTTTATATACTGCTATTTATATATAAATATATATGTATATAAAGACATATATATATGCTGTATATATGTTTCTTACTATTATTTTATTTCTTTTTTTTAAGGCTGCCATAATATAAATATGGCGTAGGCTTGATAATTTCCACACTTAAGAATATAACAGAGGGGCTGGAGAGATGGCTCAGTGGTTAAGAGCACTGCCTGCTCTTCCAAAGGTCCTGAGTTCAATTCCCAGCAACCACATGGTGGCTCACAACCATCTGTAATGAGGTCTGGTGTCCTCTTCTGGCCTGCAGACATACAGACAGAATATTGTATACATAATAAATAAATAAATATTAAAAAAAGAATATAACAGAATTTGGAAAATGGACAGTTGGTTTTGAGCTATTCAGGAAGTGTTTATGTTAAAGCAGGAAGGAAGATATTTTTTAAAATATCTAGTAGACCAGACTGCTAGGAATTGAAAAAGCCTTCAATTTCCATTGACTATATTCCCTTTGTTGATAATTTAAGTGTTCCATTTCAATTGATTTTTTTAAAAAATTCATTCTATATTTTTATTTTTGAGATTAATATATTTCTACCTTCTTTTCCCTCCTGCCCCCCCCCAATGCCACTATCTTTCAAATTCATGGCTTTGTTTTTACTAATTTGTTATTACATGTACATATGTATAGTTCTATGCTTACATATTTCTGAATGTAGTTTCTTCAGTCCATATAATGGACTCTTCTGTAGAATAAGCGAATTGACCTGAATGAGTTCTTGATCATAGATTAAGTAACTCGTGTGTGTGTGTGTGTGTGTGTGTCTGTATACACAGGCTATGCAGATCTAAGTAGGTGAAGAGAATGCAATGATTTTAAAATATTGGTCCCTAAATTTAGATAAAAGATCTAAATGGAGCACAAAAAAAGATGACAAATTATGGGAAGGCAAGATAAGTATTAGTACTCATTAGTATTTCTCAATATTTCCCAGAATATACCACTTTAATCTTTAGTAGGTTAAAGATGGGTAGAAGTTGAGCCTTGAGATAAAGAAAGGTGTAGTTAACTCTGCTTTTTCTTTAATTTTTTTTAAACAAAATTTAAATTCCTGGTTAAGTGTACAGTTTATATTTTCCTTAATCTAATTATTGTACTGCGATTATTTAGGAAAAGGTTTTATTTCTCATGAAACACACACCGAAGTATTCAAGAATAAAGAGGGTATATACTAAGGAGATTTTAATAATAAGTAATATATATCATGTTTGCATATTCATGTACTTATTAATTTTAAGTCCTCATTTGAGCCAGGATTTCTAGTATTATCATTTACTTTGTTGCTCAAATTGACTCAGATATGGTTAAATAGCTACACTCATATAATGTTTTTATACTGTCTTAATTTTAAATGAAAGACAAGTGAGAACTTGTGACGGATATGAATTTTCATTGATTCAAATGAATGGTTTTAAGTCATCCAGAAGATTGAAATATCCTCTCTGATGTCTGAACATATTATTTCATTTTTTTTTTTTAAATAGAGTCAAGGTCAATTTTGGGACATGGCCACTGCTTCACCAAGGTCTGATACTAGTGATAACCACAGTGGGAGGTTACAGTTAAAGGTAACTGGTAAGTGATTTTAGTAATAATGTAGTATTGTGATAGGTAGATGAAGTTGGATTTTGCATACCTAATGAGGCAAATATATTCCGTAAGTGATGCTCTTGAGACATACACAGTAAAGTTGGACTCATACTAGGCAGCACTGGGTTTTAATGTCTTGCTTTCATGTTGCCTTGCCTTGACTTTATCATTTTGTTCATTTCTGTTTTTAAAGTAAACATTAATTTGTAAAATTCATAATCTTGATTTCACAATAGCTCGAGTAATAGAAACTACTACTTATGACTATAAAGGAGGAGACCAAGGTCCAGAGGAAGCACTCTGCCTTCTCTTAGTAATGAGGATGCCAGTTGCGGTCTTAAGACTTTTATCACAAACCATGTTCTTTGTATAGGGTTTTTTTTTTTTTTTTTTTTTTTTACCCCTTTTGATCTTGGAGATTGAAGCCAGGGCCTTGTTCATGCTTGGTAAGTAAGTATTCTACCACTGAACTACATCCTCAGTCGAGCTTACTCCATTAGTCCTTTTATTTCAAGCAATCAGGTACTATCCTTCAAGGCCCCTCTATTATTGAAGTCTGGTCATTGTCTATGTGTGAACTAGGAGAATCCATATCTCCTTTAGTCTTGCCTGTGAATGATCAGGGTGCCAGCTTGGCATGGATGGCACATTAGCAGCAGAGCTACTGTTGAATGCCTTATATTCTTTCAGGAGTTGGAAGCTTAGGTGGTTGGGATCTTGACCTGAGGTCACCCTTCCCTTTATCTAGTGCTAAGCAGGAGTCTTTTTCATACTGAAGTTAATATCTCCCTATTTCTTTTAACACAAACCTTGGCTGCTCATTAGATCTCCTGATCCTTCTTCCTTCTCCAAACTGTACATTTTGCATTTATTTCTGCCCAATTTGCTCATTTTCATTGTTGATGTGAATAAGCATTTTTAATAATAATCACATCACAAATTCAGTGTTCCTCCTGCCTCAGTTTCACAAGTACTGGGACTACAGGCATGCACTAATAACCATGTCCGCCATATTTCCTTTCCTTTTCCTTTCCTGTTTTGAGACAGAATCTCTCTGTAGGAGATCCTCCTTTAGCACCTTAAGCATTGGAATTGCATGCGTGTACCACTGTGCCCAAGTCTCTTCTTTATTTCTGCTTTTAATTTATAGCTTATTGAAGGGGGCAAACATACAAGAACAGTGTGCTGTGGGTGTAGCTCCATGATATAGCACTTTCCTAATGTATCTGAGACTTTGCGTTTCATCTCAGCTTCTAAAAACCAACCACCCAATCAACTAATAAAAATATCCTAAAAACAGGAAAACCATGATCTAAAGTCAAACAGAAGGTAACCCACTGTAATGTGATAATTTACTATGCCACAAACATAAGTATAATAGCATGCAGAGATAAGTAATTTTTAGTATTGTAGACTTTAAGATTTCCAACATGAATGGGTCAGGTGCAAAGTTTTTAAAGTATATAGAGTACTTGCCTTAAAAACTAACAGATTGCTATGGTAGGGTTTGTATATTTAGTTTTTGGTATTGTGTCTTGTGGTACCTCAATTATACTTTAAAAAATATATTGATTTTTACATTTATTTATGTATGTGCATATACATGAGCCATGCATGGTACATGTACAGGTCAGAGAACAGCTTGTGGGAATTTTTCTCTACTATTTGGGTTCCAGGGATTGAGGTTATTAGGCTTGGTAGCCAGTGCTTTTACTCACAGAGCCACCCCACTGGCCCTTAATTTCATTCGGTGGTGAGCAATTTTAGTGTTCATGATATGCGCTGTAGGTGATTTTTCTCAATCATTTGATTATTTATGGCCTAACCATTTTTCTCTTGTTGATTTCAAGAGTTACCACCTTGCTTGTTCGATTACTATTTCTTATATCACTATTAGACTATCTACTTCTTTTCATTTTATAGTACATACATTTTATGTATATTTGTCTCTGTATTTGTCTATTTCCTTTTGCTCCTTATTTGAATTTAAGCTCCCCTTTTCTTGTGTTTACCCCAAACATTCAAACCCAGTAAAATTTTGTGTTATTGTTATAAAATGATATATTAAATTGGAGGTGATATAAAGATTTCATCTTAAAATTCTCAGATCTAAGAATATATCAAATAATTTTCTTTATCTTTGGTGTCCATTGTTCAAGTTTTGTGGTAATTTTTATGTGGATCATATACATTTGTTACTAAATGTTTTTAGGGACATTACTGTTACTGGACTTTTTAAATTAAGGAACCCTATCCAATGTCTGCTAATTTTCAATATTTACATAGTGTTACTGTGAAGGGCATTTTGAGTATAACACGAGAGTGAACAAGTAAATGGGAAAATATAATTTACTCCATTCCCACTAATTAGAATTCCTGTTTAAAATAGTAGCATTCACTTTATTTAAAAACATAGCATTAATTTTATATGCACTATTAAACCACCATATTACAAATTTTTTATGAGATTAAAAAAAGATATTTTAAAATATTTGTTGAGGGGGGAGGGGAGATCTATTATGCTAACAGCTTTCAGTACTATCAAGCACTTTGCCAGATAAAGGTACACAGTGGGATATCTTCATTAGTGCAGGTGCAGTCACCATACTGGATGCGGGGAAATTTGTTGTTGATGATGGTGCTTTTGCATGCCTTCAGTCACCAATCCTAAGAATTGGGTATTATTGTTCCCCTGTTTTTCAGGTGAGAAAATGGAGGGGCAGAGCCGTTAATTGACCTCCTTCAGGTCAGGATTCTAGTAATGGCAAAGTTAAAACATGAATCCAGATATGTTACACTTGTATGCTTTTAACATGATCCTGTATTGCCTTCTCTTTACTGACAGTGTGTGGATAGATAGGACCTGTATGTTTCAAAGAAATAACTTTTATTTGGAATGAAACCTTCTATTTTGGGGAGGTTCTTGAGAGGTAACAACTCTGGCCCCTATATCAGTCCCTTGGTGGTAAACTTAGAACAACTTGCAACGTCAGAGAATGGGAATGAGTTTTACTAAGATCCTCCCAGTAGCACTTCAGACATTATTTTAAACATTGCACTCTGTTGCTAGTATTTTAATAAGCATTTGCTTATAATCTTCTTTGTTATTCTTTCCATGTTAATAGAGGAGTAACTGTTTTAAACACTTTGCCTCTCACACCACTTTCCCTTTGTATTTCATTGGTTTGCTTGATTAATTTCTTTCAGTAGAATGGAAACTTTCATTTTATTTCTTAACGATTGATGTGTGTGATAGGGGTGCTTTTTTTTCTCATCTCAGAGCAGGGTAGAGGTGATCATAATCACTGGTTGATTGCACAGTTCTGTGTTTGGAATAACAGTTGCAATCATTAAAGGCACATGTTTAAGCTAAAATAATTTCTTACTATTTTGGGTAAAATAAATTTAAAATCCCCTTTCTGTAAAAGGTTATGATTAATATTTATTTCATGATGACATTTTGATTTTCAATTTTTTTTTAAATAAGTTTTTGTTTGAAACTTTTTTTAGGTAAAAATGTTTAGTATTTTATTATAAATGGGCCACAGTTATATAGTGAATATCATCCAGATAAAGGCATTTACTTTTCTCACAGTCCTTGATACAGTTTGAAATTATATTTACATAGCAGGTAAAGATAGAAACCATTCAAGTATGTAGTGCACACTGATGGTCCTCTGAACGTGGGAGACAGAGAATAGAGGCTTGCAAATTCAATGAGCTTGGGTTACATTTGGGAGAGCTTGATCCCAAATATATATCAATATATAAATCAGTAGGTAAACAGATATCACATCCCACTATACTTTGACAGGAGTGTAAATAGTCTGGCATTTATTGAATAGAGACTTACTGTGCTACACAGCAGTTCTGATATGTCCAAAGTAAATGAAAACACGTTCACAGCAAAACTTGCACATGAATATTTATAGACATCTTAGGTACAACAGCTACAAAGTAATTTAAATGTCTGTCAACTAATAGATAAATAAAGTGTGGCATATCAATAATGGAATAGTACTTGGCATAAAAAGGAATGAAGTATTGATGCTACAGTATTGGTGGAACCCGAGAGCATTATAAGTGGAGGAGGGCAGTCATGAAAGACTGTGTATGGTCCCACTACACAGAATTTATAGGAACAGATCAGGCAATCTATAGAAACAGACTGTGGATGTTGGCAGAAGATAGGAAAATTGCTATTGGTCTTTTGGAGAATTAACAGAAATGTTTTTGAGTTAATTTGAATGTTCATACAAGTCTGAATGTTTTAAAAAGAATGAATCTATTCAAATGGATGAATTCTCTTGATATATTGATTACTGAGACATTCAGATGGCTTTCAGACAATAGTAGCTTCTCATCTTGTCAGTGTGATATGTACTAGAGGTGGAAGAACACTTCTGTTTCTATTGGTTTAGTAGTTGGCAGTGCTGATCTTTTGGTTCCGTCTACAGACAAATAATTATTGTTTTCTGTTAGTTTCTAGTGCCAAACTAAAAAGAAAAAAGAACTGGTTTGGAACAGCAACGTACACTGAAGTCATCGTAGATGGGGAAATTAAGAAAACAGCAAAATCCAGTAGTTCTTCTAATCCAAAATGGGATGAGCAGCTGATTGTGTGAGTATCTTATGTAAAGGCTATAAAATCTTCACATTGCATGTCCTATGTTTTATATTTTGTAGAATGGCTTCAAGTAATAAGGTTTTTTCTTTATCTAAGAAAGAATTTAAAAGAGATATGTAGAGAGACTAGGTGAAGTCAGAGAGACGCCATGTAACTGCTGAAGGAAATAACTGCCTAGAACCTTTCTAGTAAGCCACATACTCATGGCAATACACAAATTACTAGAAGAATATGCCTAAGCTGTTGGCCAAGCAGTGTTGTAATTGATACAGTTTCTGTGTGGTTATTTGGGTCTGAACAGTTGGGAAACGAATGAGCAGTCTCCATTTACAGATGTCCATCAACAGATAAGTTGATGTCCTTCTGAGCTGATGCCAAATTCCCTAAGTTGTAAAATAAACTGCCCTGCTTTGGTTAAAAAAAGAAAGAAACAAAGAAAGGGGGGCGGGGAGGACGGAGGGAGGGAGGAAGAAAGAATTTAAGATATGAAGAAATTTTTTAATTTCACCTTTCTCAAAGAGGAAGCACAATAATTGTGTTTTTGTTTTATAGACAGTTATTTCCACATGACCCTATTTACTCTGAATGTTTAATATAGAAATAAACCCAGTCATTCTTAATTTTGACATTTCGAAGTAAAATGGTATAAAGTTACATGTAATAGAAGAATTATAACTAAACTAATGCCAGTCATTATAAAGAGCTCTAAAAATGGGGTCCCACAGGAGAGATTTTTTTCTGAGGTCTCAGTAAAACAGTGCTTTGCTGCTCAGTGGGTGGCTAACTACAAAAATCCCAAAGTAGTTTTTAAAGTCATAATGTGTTTGTAAATATTTGTTATTTATATTTCTGATTCAATTAGTTTACTGTTTCATACAGTATTAAACTGAATTCATCATTTTAGAAAAATCACTGCAATCGATAACTTTAAGAGAATTAGCACACAACAGTGATGTCGTGTTTATTTTTGTTATAATGTTATTCATGCAGAAATGTGACCCCACAGACCACCTTGGAGTTTCGAATTTGGAGTCACCACACTTTAAAAGCAGATGCTCTGTTAGGAAGAGCAACAGTGGACTTGAAACAAGTGCTGTTAACACACAACAGGAAATGTAAGTGGCTTTCTAACCTTTGTTTATTTATATATTATTTCAGAGACTTTAAACATATCCTTCTACAGCCCAGAAATCAAGTGTTATGTTGTGTTTGTAAAGAACGTACAATGCCAATGGTGTTGTAATTGAACAGTGGGCAGTATTTTCCCATCCTTTCCCCACACTGTAGATCATCTACCAGTTCTTTGATACCAGTTACTCCCACTCATTTGTTGTTACTAGAACAGCATCTCTGAGCTGGATAGAGACTTAACTATCAATTGGGCAGGTCAAGCTTCCCCCCCTCCCCCACCAGGTTGGGGAGGATTGCCTCTAGGAAGATCACGAGAGGACCAGGAATTTTCCCCTAATTATTGGTACTCTCACTTTCCCACTCTGAAGAAGTAACTGCAAGTTCCTTAATACTTTTGGCATCTCTGGCCTATGTCAAAGATGAAACAATAGAGAGACAATGTCTCAAAAAACAGCCACATAGGGGGGCTGGAGAGATGGCTCAGTGGTTAAGAGCATTGCCTGCTCTTCCAAAGGTCCTGAGTTCAATTCCCGGCAACCACATGGTGGCTCACAACCATCTGTAATGAGGTCTGGTGCCCTCTTCTGGCCTGCAGACATACACACAGACAGAATATTGTATGCATAATAAATAAATAAATAAAATATTTAAGAAAAAAAAACAGCCACATAAAATAAATCATAATGTACCCATATTGGATAATGAAGTGATCACTGATGAGTTTTTAAAGAAAATTGTTTTTCTAAAACTTATTTACTGATTGTTTTTCTAAGATTTATTAACTGATAAATTATATTTATGGAGTCAAAGTCATTTTATGGTTTACATATAAAATTGAATAATCAAATCAAGCCAATTGATATATCTGTTCAAGTACCCTTTTACCCTTTGTTCTGATGCATGTTTAAACATTTAGTAATTTTGAACTTTACAGTACATAATTACTTACTAATTGACCACACCCATAATGTATTTCAAGTGTGAAAACCCCATTTTCTTTGTATATTTGAAGAGTTATACTCTTTCATTGTTGTCTTCACAAGTTCTCCTCATTACTGAGTAAATTTAATATATATTCTGTGGGATAGAAGTTGAATCACAGTGGCTTTGCATTTAAATCAGAATAGATTTAATGAGAGGGAAGTATTTGGCCTTACATAAGAAAAAAACACCAAGCTGTCCTCACAGTGTGTAGTATCCAACTGTGTCAGGTGATTGCTACGACTTTCGTGCAGATTTGAATTTGTTTTTTATGACTCTCCACTGAGAATGAAGTTCCTTTTATTTCCTTTTTGATGTTTTTTTTTTTTGTATTTATATATATTTTGGGGGGACAGTTGGTTTTTGGGTTTTCGAGACAGGGTTTCTTTGTGTAGTCCTGGAACTCACTCTGTAGCCCAGGCTGGTCTGGAACTCAATGATCCACTTTCTTCTGTTCGGTTAAAGATGTGTGCCTCCTTGATGTTCTTATTTTTCCATTTTGTAACGAAAAGTGAGGAAACTGAGGCTAAATAAAGCTTGAATAACTTAGTTTTTTATGGCTAGTAAGTGGCAGAGGTGGAATTGTCAACTAAGTCATTGGACTCTCAGGATGAAATTGTGCCCCCTTCCCAGGCCTTTGGGCCTCTGCTCAGGAACAAGTTTTCACAGCTGTGTGCTTATTAGGTAGATAGTATTAGCTTATCCTGTGAAGATTATACTGTGCACAGAAGCACTTGAAGATGATGTCAAAAGCGTGGAGCTTGGGAAGAAGAGTCACTCACCTGCCCATGAATGGAATTATGCCTGTTGTTGTTTATATAATGTCTAGAGATAAAAATGCAAATAATTGCTTTTTCAAATGCAGCAGTCAAGTTCTGGAATACAACAGTTCTTGGATTGAGGTATTTTTAAACATGCTTGTGTATGTGGCACTTGTTTTTAAATTAGAATTTTCTTTTTTCTAGTAGAAAAAGTGAAAGAAATATTAAAACTTTTTTTGGAAAACAAGAATGGCATAGTGCAAACTGGTGAATTGACAGTTGTGCTTGATGGATTAGTGATTGAGCAAGAAAATCTGACCAACCACAACTCTTCTCCAACCAGTAAGCTGTGCTTATGTGTTTTTACATTTAAATAAAGAAAATTGACAAGAAATATGTAAAAACTGAACTGCTTTCCTTCTTGATGTTTAGTAGACATCCAGCAGAATGGTGATGCCTTACATGAGAATGGAGACTCCTCGACAAGGACAACTGCCGGGTAGAGTGCTTTGTGTATTGATATAAGATTTCTCAGGCATCAAGTTTGTGTTTTTAATTTACTTTATTTTCTGTTAGCTCCAAATTCATGACCTTCCTGCTTCAGATCCTTGATTGTTAGGATTATATTATGGGGTGGAGGTAGGAGTGTTCAAGATCTTATGTAGCCCAGGTAGATGTCAGATCTACTGTGTAGTTGAGGATAACCTCTAACTTCTGATCCCCCTGCTTCTGTACTGTACCAAGGTTCCTCTCTTTACCTGTCCTGGCAGTCCTAGAATTCACTCTATATATCAGGCTAGCCTCAAACTGAGCGATCTACCTGCTTTTCCCTCCGAGGTGCTGGGATTAAAGGTGCGCATTACCACTGCCTTGCAGAAGTTTTAATCCTTAGCCTCATTTTAGTGTTTGTCATAAAATGTAAAAGCCTAACCAGGGCTACATTAAAATAACACATTTTAAAAATACCAAAAATATATTAATAAATAAAAATTTAAAGGCTTAAATATTAAAGATATTATTTGCCAAGTATCTGGGAAAGAAACTTTAAAATAACAATTTATTAAGATCTAACACATAAGAAAATCATTGTTCTGGCCTTTTTCTATAAACTAATGCTTCTCTTACAAAGCATAGTGCTTTAACTATTCACTTATGCTGTGGAATGTGGTAGTGCTTTCTTTCTTATTGAAAATGTTGTTAAACAATCAATATTTATGATTTGTTGGTTAATAGAGTGAGTAGTGTGGGAGGAAGACCTTATTGATTGGGCATTCTCCTGTAGTTCAGATTTCATTCTACCATTTCAGAACCTCTCTGCCATTCACATTTTGTGATTGCTAAGTGATGATTTGAAACATATAAATGAAATGAGAGTATATAATAATTCAAATATGGTGGAGTCAGAAGTCCCAAAATATAAAAATATATCCTTACATAATTGACTTGGTACATCTGGAAAAATATGCCAGTAAAAGGGCAAAGTATAACCTTTTGGACTATGCACAGTTACTGATAACATTATTCTTAATTGCTGTTGGATGCTTCTTATCCAAGCACTTAAGCAAGATATATATGTGGCACACACCTCAGCTTGAGGTAGCTGGGAGGTTGAAACAAGAGGACAACAAGTTTGAGGCAGCCCGGGTAGCTCAATGGGATCCTGTCTCAAAACAAAAGCTGTGAAAAGGGGTCAGGAATATAATTTCTTAACAGAGCAATTGCTTACCATTTGCAGAGACTTGGGTTTGGTTCTCAGTACTGCCTTTTATTTTGGTTATGAGTCTAGCCTTAAACAGTTGAGCCATCTCTCCAGCCCAACCAGTAGTCTTTAAAATAGCTTTGAAACTATGCTTTCAAATTGTGTATTTGTTTTGTATAAATAAGTCTCCAGATTATAATTTGCACTGAGAAAAATTAATGACTGAATAATCTGACAGTTTGTAGATCAAAATGCATTAATATGTGACATATGTTTAAATTCTTTAAATTACAGTTTTCAATAGGGGTTTAAATTATTACCACCTAAAATCTAATCCTGCTTTATACAAAGTCAATCATGCCTTGGATGCTAGCACTTGAGAGGCAGAGGCAAGAGAATCGCCGCAAGTTCAGACAGGGATTACATGATGATGGGATTCATGCTGTGAATACCATCGGTTAATAAAGAAAACTGTCTTGGGCCAGTGCAGGGAATAGAGGTAGGTGGGGAAAACTAAACTGAATGCTGGGAGAAAGAAGGAGGAGTTTAGGAGAAGCCATGAGCTGGACGGAAATTTACCACTAGCCTGGTCCTTCTAGGAAGACCTGTCTTAGAACAAAACCACCAAAGCTTATTGTTTTATTTTATGATAGCACATCTTGTTTTTAAAAACGAGTCCAGTGGTGCCAGGGGAACTTTTAAGGACTCTCACTTAGACTTGTAGATCACTGATTCTAGATGGCTAAGGATGACACAGACTTGAGAACTATCTGGAAGTTTTGTTCAGACCTTAGCTGTCTTCATTGCTAAATGTAATTCCAAGGTTAGAATTAGTTTTTGGATATTTCTTATAATTTCATGAGCCTTTGAAGCTACTTTTTTTAATGATTAAATTTTCACTTTATTATTTAGATTAATTTAAAAACACAAACCAATTGTTGGTTATCAAGACCTCAAACAAATATATCTATTTAAGTAAATGAGTACCACTCAATTTTTGGAGTTTAGAATTATATATTCTAATCATTTTGCACGATTTCCCTTGAGATTTACTCTTAGAGACTAGTTATTTCTTCTATTTCTTCTCTTAAACACCAATAAAACTAAGAGCAAGAGTTTAAAAAATAATAATAATAGCATGTAAGGCACAGACATAAAAAAACTTCAAACTAATTTTGAATAATAGGTAGTCAATAAAGTGGTCACCAATCACCTGGAAAAGAACAAAATACAACCTGAAATGCATGTGTTTGAAGCTGCTACTGAGATAAAGTAGTTTGCTTGATGGAATGCAAGAAGATGATATAGCCAAACATCAAGACTTGGTAAGAGAGAGAAAGGAAGCCTGGAAGCAGGGAAAGCTCATCCTGAGAGAGCTTTCCCCTTGGCAGACCAATTCCTAATTCCAAAGAAGACAAGTCTGGGCTATTCTGTAAGGAAAGGTCATTGTTCACCCGAAAGTAGATCCTACCAAATTCAGAGCTTATTGTAGGTCCTGCACTTTCTCAACTTGACTTTCTCTTGCCTTGTTTATAAATACAAATCAATAACCACAGATCATCTGACATCCAAAGGAAAACTTGCAACATAAAATACATAATACAAATCAAAGATTTCAAAAGTAAGTATTGTGTTGACTGATATCTCTTTGAAGCTACTTTTAGAGCATTTAAAATAGCCCAATATTCTTATTTAAAATGTACAATTTGAACAGTGCTTGAAGGCCTAGATAAACTCAGTATACTTGGTGTGTCTGCCAGTGTCAATCCTTACAACTGAAAGTTGTGTAGGTCAGTGTGGTAACAGCAGACTGTGTCTTTTTCTCTGCGCTCTAACACTCCCCCTAAGTGTCAGAAAGTCAGTCCTTTTATTTTTATGTAAACTTTCCTGACATATTGTTTTATTTCACTTAACTCATTGAAGTTAGAATTTTGTTTTCTCTTTGAAGGTTGGCTGTTGAAGGGACTATTGGACTAGATAATCATGTACCAACAAACACTGTTGTTTCCAGCTCATGCTGTTCACACGTAGTTAATGGAGAAAACACACCTTCATCCCCGTCTCAGGTTGCTGCCAGACCCAAAAATACTCCAGCTCCAAAACCACTCACATCTGAGCCCACCAGTGATACAGGTAACCTTGGTGGTTTGGCACATTGTTTGAATGACAGTTAAAGAAGTTTATGTATTTAATGCCTCCATTTCCTTTATTATGCTATCATCCTTCCTCTGCTGCAATATAGTGTATAAAGCTATGATACCTGAAGATTCTTTTGAAATTTTTAAATCTTTGGAGTATTTAAGAAGGTATTCCTAAAACAGTTGAGAAATCACAACATTTTATTAAGCAAGTACTAATATGATGTAAGATTCTTACACTTTAGATTAGACCAGAAAATACTATTTAATTAGTGACATAAATATATTTTTGAAAGAACTTGAGTGAATTCTTTGATTTTTTTTTTTTAGGCAAAAGTTAATGATGAATGGTTTGTTTAAACTGATTTTATCATATGAATTCCCCTGTAGTAGCTAACTTATTAGAAGTGTATGATTTGACATAGCCATCAGAAAGTTTTATATTTCCCTAAGGGAATAATTACACTGCTGTAGAAGAAATGTCCCAGGAAGACTTTATAATGGCTTTGGATTTGTCTGAAAATATACCACGATACCAACAGCCTGAAGTGCTCCATACCTCCCAGAAGGCAAAAACCGCAATGAACTTAGTTGTTTCTCTTTCAGAAAGGAAAAATGACATAACATGATAGAATAGGCCAAGTAAAACCTATCTTATGAAGGGACAGGGCCTTATGAGCTCCTGCTTCTAAAGAATTATTTACAGTGATGTCTTTTGGAGAGTTAGTTTCCTTTAAGGGTGTGGCCCCACACCCATGAGTTTATGAGAAGCACAAAGTGGACTTTATAAAGAAAAGAGGGCATAAAGTTGGAGGAAGTGAAGAGTAGGGGGCAAATATGATCAACATATATTTCATGAAATTCTTGAGAAATTAACATTATATATTTAAAAACTTATCCCGTAACACATTCTGAACACATCAGTTTTCCTTGGTCCAGTTTAAAAATTAGAATGTGCAGTCTTCAAGATATGGTCTGAAAAAATAAATACAGAACGAGCAACACTAGTTTTATCTCAGAAGAAAGGTTTATCTGCTCACCATACTTTACATGGGTCTAATGCTTTTTAGATTAAAAGGCCTTTAGTTTACCAGATAGTAATCCATAGGAAAGAACAGGAAAAAATTGACATTTTAATGTTATTTCCTTATGAACTCTTCCAAGTGGTTATAAAGGTAAAAAGAAAAAAAAAAGTTAAAACTCACATATTAGCAAACTGAATGAGTTTATTTTATGTGACTATTGTTGGAGTTGCATCATCTCTTGCAGTAATTAGATGTCATGACCAATAATTAAGTCAATTCCTTATTCATAAAAAGACTCAAATGTTAAAAAATTGTAATGTGGAATGGTCACTTCAGAAAGGCCATTTAAATGTATGGAATTTGAAGAATTTGCTCATATTTCAGAAACATTTAGCTGTGTGAGTAGATTAGTGAAAGTACTTACTCCCTTAGTTACTGCATATTTCAACGCTGGGCTTCTTCAGATGTTGATGAAATGTGAAAGCATTAACCTTTGTACAACTAGCATTTTAAATCTCTTTGCATACTTTATAGTTTGTTGAATATTTAATATATTCTATTGGGAATATGCTCATTATTCACATTCTTCTTCCTGTCTTTACCTGAAATTTCAGGGTGAAAATAAAACACACACATAAAGAACTAGCAATGAAGATTCAATCATACATAATGCCCTGGTGTTTGTGAAATTATAAAGAAAGATAGGGCAGTCTTAACAGTTGCCATCTGCTTGCTGTACATGTGCTAAACACCTAATATTATTTACCAGCTACTCTCAAAGTCATTGGATACATAATAGTATTTTCTGTTTGCTCTGAGGAAATTGAAGTGCAGAGGGGTCATAGGCATTAATATCCAGCTCTGTGGCTTTCAGCTTTATACTTGTAGCACAAATAATAAAAAAACCAGAGACAGATATTGGGGTTGAACCTGAAGATCAGAAAAGCAAAGCAGCCAACCACTAGAGAGAATCTCTTCCCTTTATACTCCTCCCTCTGCCCAGCCATATCGCTTCTGTCTCCACCTTCCTAGTGCTGTGATTAAAGGTGTGCACCACCACTATGGCCTGTATGACTGCTTTTCATAGTATGCTAGTCATAGCTTTTGCTAGTCATAGTATGACTGATTTTCAGCAAAGCTGTATTTATTAAAACACAAATAATATGCCACTATATATACTACCTCCTGTTCATTTTTAATTATATAGAGCTTCTCAAAAGGCTAATGTTTATCTTTTATATTGAGATGGGCTTCCCAAAATATTTTCCCAACCTTTTCACCTGCTGAGATTTTTCTTAAAAATAGTGTAACTGTCCTCATATCTTTTAGTTTAAAGGGCTTTTAAACCTTTTATGTTGGTCGCAACCACTTAGCTGATGTCTTTGTCTGAAAGCTCATTTCTTACTCATAGAATTAATTCAGATAGCTTTTCAAGAAATTGGCATTCCTTATTTCTTTAAGATGTAGGTACCAAGTAGTATTCCCCAACCCCTTTTTAGGAGATGGATGCTGGGTATTGCCACAGGTACTTATAGATAGGAGGCAAGCACTTTAGCATCGAACTTCATTCCTAATATTCCTTTTTTCCATTCAGGACTCTGTGCCAGATTTTGTTATTGAATTTGTGATACTGAGTGTGGAGCCCCATATGCTCTTTCATTCACCACCAGGTCTTTGCTAGATGCAGCCAATGCTGTTGTATACTATTGAAGATCTTAATGTGAGCTCAGCAAACGTCTTTTCTCCAGGAAGTTATTCTAATATACATGTAATTCAGAGTTTCTGAAATCTCTTGGTAGTCATGGTCATACCTTTAATCCTCTAGGCGCAGAGGCAGGTGGATGGATCTCTGTGAGTTTCAGGACTCACAGCTGCCCAGTGAAGTCCTTTCTTGGAAAACCAGAAAAAAAATTGTGTGTGTTTGTTTTGTAAATTTATCTGGACTGGCACTAGGTTATCTATTTCCGCCATGATTGGTTTCTGATGTGGGAATGATTTCTTACTAATAAAGAAACTGCCTTGGCCCATTTTATTGGATAGAAAATTAGGTAGGCGGAGTATACAGAAGAGAATTCTGGGAGAAAGAAGGTTAGAGGAAGAGTCGCCATGATTCTCCCGCTCCAGACAGACGCAGGTTAAGATCCTCTCTGGTAAGCCAACTCATGGGCTACACAGAATATTAGAAATGGGTTAGAACAATATGTAAGAGCTAGCCAATAAGAAACTGGACCTAGCCGGGCCAGGCAGTGTTTGAAAGAATACGGTTTCCGTGTAATTATTTCTGGGTATAAACTAGCCATGCGGGCGGCCAGGTGCCGGGGACGCAGCCCCGCCGCTCCTATTTCAACAGGTTTCTAACCTGCTCAGGTATTGGTGTGATTTATAATGCACATGCCATATTACTGTTCCAAATTCTAAAATATGAATTCTGGAATACATCTGTCTCCAAGGGTTTCAGATAATGGATCTTGGCCCATCTTAAGGAGTTCAGAGAAACAATAACTTCCCACCAGAGGTAGTATTATACATGAAGGCTCTTTGTCCCTCTTGACTGAGAAGATTCCTCTGAGACGGTTAGTCGCCATGAATATTTATTTTAGATCACAATGAGGTGAGATAATGAGTAAACCTGAAAAGAAAAGCTTAACCTGCTAAAAAGTGACAAAAGTACCCTCAAAGTTAGCATCTCTATGTGTAAAGGTGACTGTATTCCTAATTTAGTGCCTTGTAACTTAGCTGAAAAGGTTAAATAATATATTAAAACAAAGATGTCTGTCATAGTTCTTGGAAAGTGGTATGTAAGAAAAATACTGTATTCTTTTCTACTTTAATTCTCTCTAATTTCTAGTATGAGATTATTTTTTCTAATGTATAATTATTACCATAATAGATGTATAACAGATAAGTGTGATTTAGTATCAGACAAACCTATTCTATAGGTATGTTACATTTTTTTCAGTTTTTATTAAGAAGTATAAATACTGAGAAAACTGCATAGAAATGTATGGGCAGATCCTGTGTACTGGCTTCTACTCATATCAAGTCTGCTTGTTATAGTAAGTTACCGTAATTCAGGAAACTGGTGCTAATCAACCAGAGTTTGTCACTGTGACAGTTCTGCCTACTGTGAGCAGTTGTGTGTTAGTTGCTTAATTGCTTTGCAGTGTGTTTCATCTAACTACCATTATTATTAGGTACAGTGCTGGTGGGCTGTTCCTACAGGGCAGCCTCACAGGCTTTTCCTTTGTAGATGTAGTCACTCTAAAATGATTTACCTGTAAGGAAATTCCTTAAGCAAACAGCCAGTTTTCATGTCATTGTTTGAAAAGTAGTAACATGGTCCTGTGATCTAGTTATGTTAAGATAACAAAATACTCCAAGACTGTGTAACTTACAAATAAAGTGATATTTTAATTGTAAAACTCGGAAGGCAGAGGCAGGCTGCCCCTGTAAGTTTAAGGCCAGCCTTATCTATGTAGTAAATTCCATATCAGTCAGGGGGCTGGGAGATAAGAGAGAGTTTAGTTAACTGCTTTCCAGTCTGAAAGTTCACAATCATTCATCTCCTTTGGAACTCTGGTGAGGACCTTATGTTGAATGTCCTTGTGGCTGGAATATTTAAGTATTAAAGAGAAAGATGACCTGATAGGACAGGAAGTCAGAGAATGACTAGGAGTAAGACTTAATGTTTCATACATAGCAGCTTACTCTCTTAAGAACTGACTTGATGTTGTGTGACAACTACCTCAGTCCTTCCAAGGGCAGCAGATTCAATGACCTAATTATTTCTCTCTCACTCAAAAAATGTTATATAAGCCGGGCGGTGGTGGTGCACGCCTTTAATCTCAGTATTCAGGAGGCAGAGGCGGGCAGATCTCTGTGAATTCGAGACCAGCCTGATCTACAAGAGCTAGTTCCAGGACAGGCTCCAAAAAACCATAGAGAAACCCTGTCTCGAAAAACCAAAAAAAAAAAAAAATGTTATATATACACACTTTAGACCATAACAAAGTCATAACAAGTGGAATTCAAATACTCTAGTATTTTTACCTTTTTCTACTTTATGAAAGAATTGTAACCCCCAAATCTTAATGACTAAAAGAGATTAGACTGTTAAACCAAACTGGGGGCGGGTATCACATGCCTGGAGACCTAGCTACTTGGATGAGGACAAGGTAGGAAGATTTCTTGAGTCCAGAAAGTCAAGGTCGAACAACTTAGCTAAACAGTAATTGAGATCTCATATATTTGCCTCTCCTATTATATTTAAGAGTTTCCCAGTGACATCTTGCATTTTTTACAACCAGTAAATCATTAGGAATAAATTGTTTTTGACAAAATGCATAATTTGCAAAATCAAACTGTAATTTAATAACAAAGAAGAGGGATCATGAGTTATAAGCATGTATAATCAGAAAGTCTGGAACAATATTTTTTGTAAGAAGTATCACATAGAAACAGTGGATGGAAATTATAATTTAATTAAATTTCATTTCTTGAGGTACACTAGTTAGGTGGGTTTTGGAAAGCATAGTGTCATTCCAGTACTGTACAGAAATATTTGACTGCTCCAAAATCCCCTGCACTTTACTCACTCCTCCCCAGTCCCCGAGAATCACTGATCTTTGTGTTGTCTCCGTAATTTGTCATTTCCAGAAGATGTTGTGGCTAAATTGTGGAGTATGCAACCGTCTCATATTGACTCTTTTCATTTAGGAAAGTGCACACCTCAGGTTCTTCTGTGTCTGTGAATTTTATTCTTTTTCTTTATTGTGGTATCACAAATGGTGATTTGTTTATTTAATCAAATCACCTGTTGAAGCAGCCTGGTCTCTTAGTTATAAGCAATTAGGAATGTAGATTCTATCCAAATTTGTGTTCAGGTTTTTAGTGTGGTCATAAACTTTGAACTTATTTTGGTTAACAAATGAGATCAGTAGAATGTATGATATTTGATGGGAAACTGTCCAGTCATTTCCAAGGTGACTGTGCTGTGCATTTCCACCAACAAGGCATGAGAATTCCTGTTGTTCTTCATCCTAACCAGCCTTTCTATTTAAGCAGAGATGTTTTTCCACCTTCTCACCCAAAGATTGTTTGTCTATTCTTAATCATTTTACTTTTATAAATGTCTTTTATTATACACCATGATGGTACATGCCTGTAATCCCAAGTGCTTTGGAGGATTAGTTTCCAGGCCTGCCTGGAGTAAAAACAAACAAACCAACAACAAAAACAACAAACACCAGCTCAGTATTTTTTGTTTTATTTTTTTTTCTAACAGACCTTGAATATGGTCCTAATGCTGAACTTAGGCTCTTCATTCTTCCAATATATTGTATTTAATTTATTAGTTCTAATTTCTGGTTATTTATTGTGTATGTTCTAAATATTCTCCTTTATATGAGTTTTACCTTTTTCAGTGTTTTTGATTTTTTTTCAGCCTTAATACATTGTCAAATATAATCAGCAATATTGAATTGGAATAGTGTGATTTTGATCATCTTTACTTAGTTCATTAGTATTTTATTGAATACTTTTTAGCTAGTATTGAAAATAATCTTTCTTTTATCCTTTGCTCAGTTACCATGATACATTTCCTAACATAATTTGCTAATATTGAATTATTTTTGGTTATGTATCATGTTGGCCTATGGTTTTGGGGACATTGTTTGATATGGCTTGAAAAGTTTTTTTTTTTCTAATAGAGTATAACATTTTAAATAATGCAAAAATTATCTATAAAGCTTAAAGAATTTTTTCAAACCCTGTCCATCCCCCATGATGGTATGATAGGTCCCATGCAGTATATCCCCCATGAGTCTGAAAATTCTGTAAGCCATGTTCATGTCCTAGTTCCCCTACATAATCTTGGATCAATTTACCACTACATGAATGAAGTTCATGATTGTTTCAGGGACACTACAGGGGTACTTGAATGTCTCAAGGTAGACATTCACTGAAGCAGTACTGCGATGTTTCCTGCAAGTTTCTAGGAGACAGGAAAATGCAGAGACTTGTTTGATCAGGTAGCAAGCTCACATGCTACCTTGTCAATCCAAATCTCCGTTCTGCAGCATGACAGATACATGCTAGGAAGTGCAGAGAACTCTTCTGCATCCACCTGCCTTGCAGATCTCACGACTGTATTCAGGCTGCCATCTGGCACACTTCCAGTTTACATGTGTCTGTCTGTCCTCTGTTGTACTTCAGTGTTTTCAGTGTTTTGATTCACTGCAGCAGAAGGCAAGCAGATGCTTATTGACTCTAATCCACCATCTTGAATTTTCTCACTTGCGAGTTTGACTCAATTTTATGTGTACATGTAGTCTAAATGGATATCATACTTGAAATAAAATAAAAATATCAGATGTCAGTAAATTTCAGCAGTGGGTTGTTTCTTAAGTAAGTGTAGAATGGAAGCTGGGCTTGATGGTCCGCCTGCTCAAGTAGCTGAGGCAGGAGTATTTCAAGTTCAAGAACAACCTGGGAAACTCATTGAGACATCTCAAAAAGTAAAAAAAAAAAAAAAAAAGAGTTAAGAATACACTGTTGAATTTTTTTATAGTCCTCTATAGTACTGTCTTAAGAATTAATGTACACATGTGTTTCTAATTGGACAAACAAGTTTTTGTTTAGCTTTGTTTTCAGACTAGCCGCCACTTACATATAAGAGATTTATAGTTTATAATTTGGAGGGAAAACGTTTATTTTCTTTTAATGTTGGTGTGTTGCTTGAAGTTAAAGTTATTAGTATATACACTTAAAAGTTTATCATTTACCAATTTATTCTTAAAATCCCTAAATTATTTTATTTACTTACTTTATTCTTAAAAATTGATTCTAAAGCGTCTCTTATTGTTTTATGTTCTTCAGTATCTGGTACATGGCTCAGTTTGAATAGGCATTGAGGAAGTGTAGAAATTGACTAGGTAATTTGATCATAGGTCATTTTGTTATTTTCCCCTTGTAGTTAATGGAGAATCATCTTCATCTGTCGTAGCTGATAATACTTCCACCATGGGTACTCCACTACTGTCTGAAGAAACCACCTCAACTTCCCATTGCACTAGCACCACCATTCAGGAGCCTCCTGTCCAAGGACCCCCGGCATCCTCAGAACACAGTGAATGTATTCCCTCTACCAGTGCCGAAATGGGACCAGAAGCTCAGAGCCTCATAGACCCTGATTCTGATTCCAGAAATGATTCTGTTTTTGACAAATTAAGGCAGCCAGAAGGGTTTGCGGAACCTCTGAGGCCACGGTCTAGAAATGCGAATAATGAATCTTTGCCATCAGGGTATGTCAAGAAAAGGTTTTTAATGTTTGCTTTCATTTAAGTAAAAATTTCTGATGATATATGACTACTGAATATTTATATGAAATGTTCCTTTTGTTTAAAAAAAAATTCTTCGGGGCTGGAGAGATAGCTCAGCAGTTAAAAGTACATACTTGCAGAGAGCTCAAGTTCAGTTTCCAATATCCATGTCACGATGTTCATAATTCAGCTCTAAGATACTGCCTGTGACCTCTGTGGGCGCCTGCACTCATGTGCATACATATCCCACACTCACATACTGATACATACACATACCCATTATTAAAAATTATAAAAATAAATCTTTTTAAAAATTAAATATAATTGGAACATTCATGCTATATATTTGCTTCAGTGAAACTTATCTTTTGGAGTTAAGAACATTACTTATCTCATCAAAATATGTGTGGCAAGAAATGAGCATACAGACCTGATGTGAATCTGTAAGACCTTTTGATTTTATTTTCACTTTGTTTAGTAGTGACCATGACATACTTGTCATAACTCCAGTTCTCTAGCTCTCTGTGTGATCTAGGGGCTGGTTATCCTTTGCTTTATTTCTAATATCCGCTTGTGTGTGAGTCCATACTGTGTTTGTCTTTCTGGGTCTGGGTTATCTTACTTAGGATGTTTTTTCTAGTTCCATCTTTGGCCTATAAATTTCAAGATGTCACGGTTTTTTACTGCTGAGTAGTACTCCATTGTGTAAATGTACCACATTTTTTTTTTATTCATTCTTGGGTTGAGGGGCATCTAGGCTGTTTATGAACATAGTTGAGCAAATGTCCTTGTGGTATGAGCATGCATCCTTTGGGTATATTCCCAAGAGTGGTATTTCTGGATCTTGAGGTAGATTGACTCTCATATTTCTGAGAAACTGCTATACTGGTTTCCGAAGTGGATGTACAAGTTTGCACTCCCACCAGCACTGGAGGAGTATTCCTCTTACTTCACATCCTCTCCAGCATAAGCTGTCATTAATGGTTTTTGTCTTAGTCATTCTGATAGGTATAAGATGGTATTTCAGAGTTGTTTTGATTTGTATTTCTCTGATGGCAACAGCTATGACATGTACAGAGGACAACCTTTCACAGCACTCCTCCCCATTCTCTGGGTTTGTGTTCTGTCTCTGCCCTCTTCCATAATGTTCCCTGAGCCTTAACAGGGGATCTGGGGGCTGATAGAGATGTCCTTCTATAGCTGAGAAGTCACGGTCACTTACTAGCACTTTAACAGTTATAAGGCATTGTGTAACCACTACCCTCTGTATTAAGAAGCTTCTCTGACCAAAGTTGAGAACAGCACAAGTTTGTGGTATGTAAATATAAATATTTAGTAGGCAGTTAGACAACATGATGCTATCACAAAGAGCATTAGTGGAGTCTCTGCGAGGGCCTCTGATGTTCTACCAATGGGTTTTGACCAGCTTTACAATATCAGGCATGAGTTCTCTTCAATAGAGTGAGCCTGAAGTCAAGTCCAGAGCATAGTTAGTTCCTCCATAAGTAGTCTAGCCACTGTCTGTCCAGCAGGCACATTTTGCCTGGCATGTGGTATTACCATGCAGGTCCAGTGCTGGTAAGACCGTTGTCTGTTCTCAGTAAGCAGTTTGCATGGCACTTTGCAGCATTATGAAAGCTAGCCATTAGGGTGATGTTTTTATTTTTAAAACTTTTTTTCCCCTTCTATATATCATATTGAGAAAAATAGCAGGGAAGAAGAAATGGGGAACCAAGAAAAGAAAATCAAAGTGGGGAAATAGATTGAGAGGCTTTCAGGGAATAAGTTTGTGATGTTCATTCAAAGGACTACTGAGATAAAGAGTGGAATAGATGGGCACAGAGAGGGCAGAATTGTCAGGGACAGTACCACCACAAGACTTAAAAACCTTCTAGATGTATAATTTTAAAATCAAAGACAATGTATATTACTTACTGGCATTTAGTACCTTGGACTTGCTCTTTGCTGAGATTCTTTTACCCTTGATTATATTTCTTTTCTGTTAGTTTGGAGGAGTGTAAATTGATAAAATCAAAATTTTAAGTATTCTATGCTTTCTTTCTTAACTACAGTTATTTATTTTCTAGTTCTGTTATGAAGAAGCAATAATTAAGAGATCAAAATACCTTTATATGCAGGCAGTGGTGGTGCATGCCTTCAATCCCAGCACTTGGGAGGCAGAGGCAGGCAGAGATCTCTATGAGTCTGAGGAACCCTGATTTGGGGAAAGATAGATAGATAGATAGATAGATAGATAGATAGATAGATAGATAGATAGATAGATAGATAGATTGATTGATTAATAGATAGATAGATAAAAATGCCTTTATAGGTTCTCTCTCTCTTTCTCTGTGTGTGTGTGTGTGTTTGTGTTTATATGTTATGAATGTGTGGGACTTGTGAAGTAAAGCCTGTTTGTATTGTTCCTCTTGGTTTCTAGATTCTAGAACATTTTCATATTTCCTAATCTTTTGTTTCTTGCTTCTATTTTTGTACTTTTATTATAGCTGGGAACAGAGAAAAGATCCTCATGGTAGAACCTATTATGTGGATCATAATACTAGAACTACCACATGGGAGAGACCACAGCCTTTGCCTCCAGGGTAATGTATTATCCTTATGTGTCTTTAGTTATGTTTTTATTGTATGTAAGTTTTAAATTTATTTGGTATAATATTCATAAATACAAATTTAAAGATAGTCTATAATTTTTGGACAATAGTTTTAGTGAAATAGAGTTTATGTTATGGTTCTCAATGGATGAATTGAATGAATGGCTATAACATGGTGATCCTATTTATTTAAAATGAGCCTTTGGATGTACTGTATTGAAACACCACATCTGTGTTTTCCACTGATAAGTTCTTACTTAATCCCATAGGAACAAGTGCTGAGTTCTTTCCTTCATTTAAAAAAAAATTCACAACAATGAAATCTTTTGACCATTGAAACTAGGCACTCAGGTGTCAAAGAC